TTGTTTTCTCTCACCTCTGTTTATCAAATATAATTCCTTTCTTTTAATGCAATATTTTAAATCATTTTCACTTCTGCCTGCAGCGGGAAGTCCTGTTTTTATTCATAATCAGACCCATATCTTTGCTGCATTTTCATTTTTTTCACCTCTGCTTGTGATGTGTGTGTACTCTAGAATTTAAGCAATGAATGCATTCTTCCTTCCTTTGCTTAGAAAAAGAAAGTATTTATTTGAAACTAAGATATTGCGTGTTTCTGTGTGTTCTTGTTCACTGTCTACTATAAAAATTAGGTACTGAATCCATTCTTCCCAGAAAACACAAGTGGGAGGGAAGGAGAAGCAAATCACTGTTTCCCCTCCAAAACCTGTGAGGATCCATTGGGGAAAAGATTCCCTGTCCTGAAATGCTTCCATTTGTCTCCTTAGGGCCACCTCTGTGTTGTCTTGTCATTTCCAGAAAAATGAACATAAGGAACTCAGAGTGGTTCATACATCATTGTTTGGATGCCCTCTAAATGTGAAGGCTCCACTTGCCAGAAACCAAGCCATGCAAAACAAAACAAACCCCTGCACCCTTTAATCTGAAACTTGACACCAGTTTTTCCCCCAAAGAGACAACTGTGCCCACAGATTTTCTCTCAATTCTGCCAAGAAATAAAGAAATTACTGGCAGCTCCAGTAAGTCGAACATTAAAGGTGTGTAGCAGAAGGTCTCTGCACTTACAGTGGGGTCTTGACTTAAGAACGGCTCGAGTTAAGAACATTCTGACTTAAGAACCACTCTCATAGGAAAATATTGACTTGACTTACATACTTAGATTTGAGTTACAAGCTGAAAAAAACCCACGTGAGAGGCAGAGAAAGTGCAAAATTTGAACTTTCAGTTAACTGTTGGCCAGTGAAAAGGGTGCCTGTCTGCTTCCTCACTCCTCCCAGCGTTTAGAGAGTGGATTGGGAGACAGTCTTTGGACTGCCTGGTACTGTACTGCCTGGACTGTATTTTCCCTGCCTTCCCTGAACCTTTCTTGACCTAAGGAAAAAAAGAAACAAAATATCCCCCTCTAGTGGTTGAAGGCAGAATAGCAGTTTCCCATTAGTTTCTATGGACGGAAAAGAGCAGATACGGATCAAATGGTTTTCAATGCATTCCTATGGGAAATGCAGATTTGACCTGAGAACCTTTTGACTTGAGAACCGCCTTCCAATACGGATTAAGTTCTCAAGTCAAGACCCCACTGTACTCAACATTGTTGAGATCTGCTAGACCCTAAGGATTTGCCATGCCTGCAGATTTTGTATAGTTCTGGTTGTGTTCTCCAGTGATCATTAGTGGGAAATATGAACTTTTAGATATCTGAATCTCAGCTTGAGTTGAGGACTCAAAGCAAAGCAAAGCAAGCTGACTCCAAATTGGTCCCAGGCAAAATGGGTCCTTTTATTTATTTTATTTTTTCCACAACATAAAAAGTGAATATTGGAGTTGGTGCACATACTTAGTACAAATACTTTAAATGACATATTTTGGGTTTTTTTATATTTGAAAGATGTAGCTGTCTAGTAATGACCATAAATGTGCCTCATGATTTGGATGTAAGCTAATCCACAGTTTAACACTTCAGAATGAAGCCCAAGCAAGCTAGAGGGTCATGAATTCCTACTTTGCTTCTCTTTATTTCCTCTCCTCTTGCATTTACCTCCAGAATAGTTTTTAACAAGTACTGTACACTGTGACTAGAATAAGTGTTTATATTTCTTTTTTCCCCTTCTTCTTTATCTGTTTCTTTTTCTTTTCTTTTTTGAGCGATGGTCTGTGTTGGAACTGTTTGTCTGTGCTTCTTGTGCATTTACTTGAGAGTAAGGCTAGTTGAGTACTGTGGCTGAGATTTAGGGTAACTGGATATCTTTAGTGTGATTCTTGACCTTTTTATTTCCTTGAACAGCAGTCCACCAACCCAGCCTTGGTACATGATTGCAAAGTACTTCTGGAAGGCCTTTCAGATTCAGAAGTGTTTATTATGCAGCATGGGAGGCAGCTGTTTGAGGCAGAAGTCCCCTTGGGCATGCAGAACTAATGGAGCTGTTCATTGGATCCTAATGCATGGGAGTCATTTCAGAATAAACACGCACAGGATTGAATTGCAGTAGATACTTCATAATTCATTTTTATAGCTCCCCAATATAGCTTGGAGAAGCCTAAAATCAGAAGAACTTTTCTAACAGAAATCAGTGTGTATGACTGTGATAAGAACGTATATAAACCGTTTTATTACTTTTGCTTGTCTCACTGCACATTGGAGTCCTTTTGTCATTTTTTAAAATTCTTTTAACCTTGATACAATGATTTTTTTGCCCCTTACAAATAAAACTTACATAGTATGAGAATTTCAGTGTATTAAAATGGTTAACAGTGGCATTAGGGTTAGATATTTACATTAAACGAATACATCCTATATAGAAACATTAAGCCATCTTGGCTGGATGGTTGAGTTAATTTCTTCTGTTTGTTTCACTTCATGATTTTATTGTTGTTCGTTTGTGGTTTATTTTACTTTGCCATGTTGTAAACCTTCCAGAATAATGCTTTGTACTAATGGAACGGTATATTGATGAACTGATCAATCGCTCAGTCAATCAAATCAATCGATCAGCCAATCAATCAATCAGTCTTGTGCTTCTTGAACCTACTCAGAATGACAACCATAGTACTTTATTTCTGTTTCACTGCATACTGATTGAAGTCAGGCTTTTGTTGTTGTTGCTCCAGTACATTTCATCGAGTAGGACAAAAACAAACAAAAAAAAAACATGTGAAATGCATTGTTTGACATTTTTGCCACAGCTGTTTTCTTTTTCTAAACAAAAAAATTGGTGAATGGCTGAAATTTAGGGAGAAAGTTTTAACTATAAAGGTGACAGTGCTGTAAGTCTGGTAACATCTGTGGTCTAGTTCTGTGTCATTTCAGCAAGAGAATGTGACCCTGAGGAGCTAAAATATCCCATTCTACTGCATGATAGTTAATTATACCTGTACACTACTCTTTATCTGTAGGAATGAGCAGAACAGAATCGTATTACTAAAGTAACTCAATTAAATAAGCAGACAAGGAAACAATTTCCCATCTATAAGAAAACTGCAAGTAACTTGCTTATGGGTTACAGAGTGCTATTTCTTTTGTCACTACTACTTTAAGATAATCTATTTAAAATTCTTCATTTATATAGCCATGATGTTCCTGTTTATGGTGAAGACAGTTAGGAACTAATTAAGCATTATGGTGACTAATAGAGCAAGACTAAGAATATGGCTTTTGCTGTCCTGCTATTAAACTAGGTTAAACCAGGGAAAGTAATTTACAACTCATAGTTACTTTCCCCATGTAATTAGATAGATTTCCCATTAGATTGTAGGAGCAATCATATGTAATCCTAAACTGTGCTACATTTTAGGATTACATATTACACTACATATACAACAGAAATTAGATCTCTTGACACCTTGGACTTCTTCTATGAAGTCATAAAGAATAATACATTAGAATTCCATTTCACATCAGCAGACTTGTGGTTTGCCATTACATGTTAATGAAATTAACATGGATTAAACCAGGGGTTTTAAACTCAATTTGCCTGAGGGCCGCTAGAGGCAGAGTCTCGGTGAGGCTGGGCTGCATCAGATTTTCCGCCAAGCGGAGCAAGAGCCCGAGGAAGCCACCCAGGAGTTTCCTTAGCCAACAGACAGGTGGGCTGGCTGGCAGGCTGCAGTTCTGGATGGAGGGTGCGAGAGGTGCTATCTTGGGAGAGAGCCAGCGAGTGAGGCAAGGCTTTTTTTTTACTCTTGACAGCAGAAGATGTGTGGGCACTTTGGGGGGCAGGCAAGGCGAGGGCCACAAACTATCATCTGGGGGTCTGCAAATGGCCCCCAGGCCGCATGTTTGAGACCCCTGGATTAAAATAATTCTGTTTGTGTCTGAAACTTGTAATTCTATGCTGGCTTGTTTAACACCTCCAAGATATCATAAATCGGGGAACCTACAAAAATGAAATCTGGCTTACTCTACTTCCCAGTCTCAGAGGAGAGGGAATGTGCATGACCAGTGCATTGCAGAGCCTTCCATCTGGTCATATACCTACTGCTAATTTATGATAAAACCCCTGTAACCCCTGGTCAGGAAATATGGATACTTTAGTTCTAGAAATGGGAAAGTACCAGATTGTCTATCGTCAGCTTAGTTTTACATCTGACTATTGCCATTATCTGTTACAAGCTGAAATATAATATACAGCATACGTATATCCACAAGAAGATATTTATTTTATGCAATCAGTTTTTTTAATGGTTTTGAATATACAAAACTAGCTTATGCTGAATCAAACCATTGATCAATCAAGTCTTCGCGAATACAATCAAGTCTACTCATCCAACACCATCTAGCAATGGCTCCCCAGTGGCTCAGGTAGTCCTGGATTGTGAGGGTGTGATCACACAGGGAAACAGAGAATGATGTGGACCACTTGTGGATCATTCTGGAGAGATCTATTTCTTGATTATTACACCATGTACAGGAAAATGAGTTCCAGCCTGACTTTAATCCCTTCAAAGATGGACTTTTTTGGTCCAGCTGTAGGGTTTTTACTTTTGGGGGCCAGGCTGGAACAATGCTGAACAGACAGAAGGGTTGCTTTAAGGGAGATTGCTCCCATTAAAGCAACTGTTCCCAGTGTGATCCGGCATGCGCCTTTGCAACCGTCTTGTTGCAGTCCTGTAATATAAGACTATTTTTACTGAAGAAAGTGTCAGGGTTTCAACCTGAGCCCTTTGGTATGCAAAGCTAAAGTATTTTAGCATCAGATTATTAAACTGTTTTTTTTTTGTTTTTTTTTTTTTNAAAGGTAGTTCTGTTAAGTTTTGAAAGCAACTGTATAGTGTGAGCCAGAAAGCAAAAACAACCCGTTTGAGTTTGTGGTCTCCAAGATTGTGACAACACTTTTTTTGTCCATAGCTCAGCAATCAGCAAGCACTGGGAGGCAGAACTTGCTACTCTCAAGGGTAACAATGCCAAGCTTACAGCAGCTCTGCTTGAGTCCACTGCCAATGTGAAACAATGGAAACAACAGCTTGCTGCATATCAGGAGGAAGCAGAACGTCTACATAAGCGGGTGAGTGTAAAGCATTTGAATATGAGGTTAGTAAATGCTGTTACGAGCTCGGAGAGTAATAAAGTTTTGTTTTAACAAGCTATTTTTTTGTTCATCTCACAACTTCCATGCAAGCCAGTTTCCAGTTATAGAAATGAAATACAAAGTTCTCATATGTGAACTTCTCTAATTATTCTGCTTTTCTGCCTCTTACTTTGATGAGAAATGTCTTCTGTGTTGTTATTACGTATACATTGGGTTTTATTTAGAGAATAATTCCAGCATTTTAGTATGTATTACTGAGGATCAATGTAGAGATCAAAGAGAAATACATATTCATTGCATTAACGTGTTTTAGTTTCAGCAATAGAATTTTCTGTGAGATGCATGCCTTAGTAGTCACTCTTGCAAGGTAAGTTTGTATTAACTTTCCTGTGATCAATCACAAGCAAAGTACAGCCAAATAAAAGATACAGGAGTGGAAGAAAGCATATGTTACAACATACGAGCATTTTTTTATCATTTGGGAGAGCATTGTTTCTGCTCACTTGCTAAGGGTACCATCAAGTTTGATTGCAACAGACATCTAGAGCAATGGTCCCCAACCTTTTCCCAACCACAGACTGGTGGGGGGGGCATGGCACACTTGGCAGGCAGGTGGCACGCCCACAATGGTGTGGTGTGCCCGCAGAGGGGTGTAGTGCACTTGCGCACATGCATGTGGTGGCGCTCGCAGGGGCCAGAGCACGCTAGCGTGCATGCATGTGGTGGTGCTCACGGGGGGCAGGAGATATGTGTCCATGGCCCGGTCCCAGGCCGTGGACCAGGTGTTGGGGACCCCTGATCTAGAGCACTGTTTTGCACAATATTAATTTGATCTGGTCAGCTAGATATTGAGCAGGTAGAAGCTCTTAGGGAGACATGCACTGACAAGGAGGCCACTGACTTCCACTTGCAAGAGGTGAGCAGGGTTGTTAAAGATATGCCATTTTGGGGGGGGGGGAATCACTTGTTCATAGGGTCACCAGGAGTTGGCGATGACTTGATGGTGTATAACTAGAAGCCCAAAGAAGTAATGTTTCCAAGTTCAATTTTGTTCATTTATGAAATGCAGGAGGGTTTCCTGACAGGATGGAAAAACACAGAGGAAGGGATAACAATAAAGCATCTCAGTGCAGACTCAAGTGACAGTCACCAAGATAGAATCAAACAGATGTTTAAAAAGAAATTTTATCAGCACATGTTTGTATTGTAGCAAGCAGAACTCTTCCACTTTTGATGTGACATTGGATCACCTTCAACTCAGCGCTAATTTTGTCCATATGAAATGCAGATGATCTGCCTATTTCATCTCCCATAGTTTCAGTTGTCCTCTCAACCTGGCCTAAAGGATCTTCTTTCTTTAGGCTTATCAATAGAATAATTTACTAGGTCATGATTAATACTTGCAAGAATCAGTTGCTGCAAGGGTAAAAAAGGTACACATACCATATTCTCTGGAAACACCCATGTCTCTTTTACTGTGAGCATATCTATTCCTTACCAGAACTTGGGTTCTGATAAAAGAACTATATGAATAATAAATAGGGCATGTTGGCCGTTTCCTGTTTGCATGAGAACCTCTCTCTTTCTTTCACTCTCTCCCTGTCTTTCCTTCTTATAGCAGTTTTGCCCTCCTCTTTGTTTGTTTTTTTTTGTTTGTTTTTTTTAAGTAAGGTTGTTTCTAAAATTATGAATTGCAAAATGAATGGTATGCATGGGAGAAAGTATGGTGAGGAAGGGCAAGAATGTTTGCTGAACATGGGCGCAATTCACAATTCATGTCTGTCATCTATGAAACTGCAGGTAGAGAAAATTGTTATGGCCGTTTCCCCATCAATTTCTGACACATTAACTCAGTCTACATTCTACATACAGTAATCTTGGTGTTGTTTTGTTACAAAGTTCCAGACTACTTAAAAATATTTGGGGCGAGTAGTGGTAATATCAAAACAAGGAGATACATTTTTATGTAAATGTCTTAAAACCCAACATCAGTAGATGCAAAAAAATTTTTTTATACATATCCTATTCCCCAGGGAGAAACACTGCAAAATATTTATCACAGCAGGGCATAAAGATAAGAACCTTGCTGAAGGTGTCTAAGGGGCAAGCTGTGCATCCTATGCAAATATACTGTATATGATAAACCCTGACAGCTGTTTTTATGAAGAAAGGTGGCTTTGGAAAAGACCCATTATAAGTGGGGAAATGGTGACGGGGGGGGCAGAAAAGGGTTGAAGCTCTTCCCTGAGATACTCTCAGTGACCCTCCCTCCTCTCCCCACACCTTCCATTCCATATGCCTGCAAACACCTCCTTAGAACTCCCATGGTGGGAGGGAGGGAAGGTGGAGAAAAGTTGGGGGCATGAGCTGGAAAGGGAGGGTGTTGCTTGGAGAGAGAAAAATGCATACCTTTCCCTTACAAATCTGCTCTCTGTTCACAATGGCCCTTTCCCACCCTGCTTCTTTTTCCGAATACTGTATGTAGCCAGAAAGGCTGTATTACACATGCTTGCTTGAAAGCACTGAGATGGTTACTAAGAGACTGTGGTCTTATTTACATTTGGCTCTCCAGTGCTCATCCAGGAAGTTGTACTATCAAGTTGTGGGGCTGATACTTGCTTCTCAAGAATTGCAATGAATTGCTGTGCTGCTGCACATACAGATCTCAAGCTCCGAGGCAAGAGTTGCAACAGAAATAGGAATAAGTACTACGGACCAATCAACTGTTAAAATAAATTTGCCTTTCATAAGCCTTGATAATCACTCAGAGGAGTCCCTAGCAACCATGCAGAAATAAAAATTATATTAGGTTGTGTGGATAGCATCAGAATCTTAAATAACAAGAAGGGTTAAACTACTGAATGTTAGATGACAACTGATATCCTGTCCTCCTTTACAGATTTGGGTTTGCTCTGTAATTAAGCAAGAGTGAATATTCTGATAGCAATTGTCCTGTCAAAAGACAACCTGAAAATTTAATGGTTGGCCACTTGGCCATGTTTGAGGAAGGAGAGAGTGAAGAAACACCAGGAAAGGCAGCACACTGTATCATCCCATGGTCACACTATATGTTTATTCCAGGTTTTATACAGATGCTCCCCCGCAAGCATTGAAGGACATCTGATGTAGCATGTGATCTAGCTTGCCTAGAACTGTATCCTGCATTTAGCATGCTTTGTTTTGTGATTGGTCATTAGAGGGTAAAAGAGGGGACTTCACCCCAAAGTTTCAGGGGCACATTGTCTCCCGATGCTAGTGAGGACTGATGGGTGCAGGTCTGAGTGCTGATGGCTGATAACTCAGAAAATCCTACTGTGGGCGGGGGCAGGGTGTAAACACATACCCCTGACTCTCAACTCTCATTTTTTTAGTGGTATGGGCGGTCATCTCAGAATCGTATGAATTTAAAAAATTACTCCTCCCTCTTACAAATCACAGCTAGTTTGTCCATTATCGCTGCTGCGGGAATGGTGCTGAAAATGATATCTTTCTGACAACTGATTTCAGGTCTTTCCATTATGTTTTTAAATGCTTACAACATCATTTGTTGTCCCCACACTGTGAGTTCCCATCCTACCTCTCTGCTCTCCGATGTTCCTACTGATCACTGGTAGGGTTTGAGTACTCTTAACATGATGACAATTCCCATCTAAGCATTTTTAAAATAGTACAACCACACCTGGCATCAACTGTAACATCAACATGTTGAATAGTCTGTGTACTGTAGCTTGTCATATAAAGGTATTTAAACACACCTGTGCACTTATAAGTAATACTTCTATTTTTTAAAAAAATAAAATCAAATCCTCATTTTGGAAAAGCTGAATCTGCAGGTGATGCCTTCTGTCCTCGTTGTTTTCTTCAACATTTCTGTACTTGGTTACCTGGTACCCTAGCTTTATGCACTCTCTATTCTGTGAAATTCTTGACATAAGTTATTATAATCATAGAGGGTTAGAGATGAAGTTGAATGCACATTATAGTGAGATTTTTTCCATGAATGTGGCCACAAATTGGCATGGTGAAAGCTCCTGCAGTGTGCTGCCTTTTCTAGGAATTAGTAGCATAGTTGACAGACCTCGATAAACAAATAAATCCAAGTCTCTTAAGGGAACCTGTGGCACTTTTTCAGTCCAAAAAACAAATGAGCGTCAGCTTGCAATCACGTTGATGGCTGCAGAGGAGGAGCAAATAAGGATAAAGCTGAACAGTCAATGTGCTTGCTCCTATAAAAAGGTGGGTACAGCTTTTGCTTCCTTCATGTTTCCACCATTTGTTTTCTGTACAGTCCCACAATGCCACCAGAAGAAGGGAAAGGTAAAACACTTTTGAGTGCTCTCTACCTAGAAAACCTTGAAAAGGGTGGTAAAAAATATAATAAACAAATACTGTAAATAATACCCGGCTCAGTTGATAATTCTAACCTTTTACTACTCTATCTCCACAGGAGTTAGTTCAAAGCCCACTTGATCAGGTTTCCTACCAAAAATATCATCCCCAGTTCCCAATAGGTACATCTCATATAGATCAAGAAGTCCTACATATACCGTAAATATCCATGATCCATGAAATCAAGCCTTCCTCAATGGCACAATCTATGTAACCAGCGGTTCACTTTCAATATTTTTCTTTCTGTCCCCTGACCTTTGACAGGAAGGAGTGATAAAAACAGTAATTGTGCCTCCAGCTCCTTCAATTTCCTGCTCAAATGTGTGTCACCCTTATGATGCATACCAATCAGTGCTGTTTCCAAAGCCCAGTCATTTCTCCACGGCAATGTGTTGTTGTGGGCAGGTGGCAGAAATGAGAAATTGAGTGGGAGATCAATACTTAACCTCCCTGCCAACTTACTGCCCTATCTTACAATAAAACGTGCTTCTCTGCCGATTTTTCTTCCAGCTAGAAAATGTCGGTGTGCAGTTTCAGCTGAGGGTATGGTAACACAAAAGGAGAGAAAACACATCTTAAGTTGTATG